TTCCTAGAGTTGCTCCAGGCTCAGAGCTTAACCCTACACCAGCTTCCCCTCACTCTGTGGTCCCTTGGGAAATGGGCTGGTCTCCATGAAGCTTCTAAAACACCTGGCCTTAGCCCAAGTCTCCCGCATTCAGAGCTCTGGATTTGGAGTCCACAGACCATGGTTCCTACAGTCCTGGTCTCTGTGGGAAGCAAGCTTCAAGTCCCTGCTCCTCCACTGCAACTCTGAGAACACCAGCATTACCCACCAAAGACAAAGCCTCAGTCTCTGCTTCCGTGAAATGGAGATGAAAGTGTATGCATGGGTCAGCATTGTAGGTTAAGCTGTGTAACAAATCCCCAAGTCTCCGTGACTTCATATATAGCTTTACTCTTGCTCACGTAAAGGCCTACACCAGGCAAGCATCATTCCTTCATCTTGTCGCTTTGGCCTCCAAGGCCACTGCAGAAGAGAGGACGGCAGATGGTAGAGATACACATTCATTAATTGCCTCCATCACAGGGGCACACCAACGTTTCCTGGGCCTGACACTTACACAATATAGGGGCTCTAAGACAATTTATATAAAATTATAGTACATGTAAAATATTTTTACATGTATTTTATATCTATATTTTTTACTGCTGCTCCAACACCACTGTACCCAGAAATTATAAAACAACATACCCAAGGCCCCCAGAGAGAGTGGCCAGGACAAGACAGGGGCCTGGAGCCCCATACTCCATTAACCTCAGGATAAATCAGATCTGCAGGCTGGAGGGGACACACCCCTGTTGCTGACAATCCAGTAGCCAGAACTAGGACAAAGGCCAATCTCAGCACAGGAGCCTGGGAGGTGTGAGGGAGCACCTGGCTCCTTGTGAGTAGGAACCTGCTCCAAAAGCGTGCTGGGCTCGGGCAGCTGGGTGATAGAGGCCTGGACATTGCAGGCAGGAGGAAGCCGGAGGCAAATGCAGGGATCTGGGAGTCAAGAGGTAGGGCAGGGGAGCTCTGCCTAGCCCAGAGCCAAGAGGGCAAGGCTCTGTTCCCAGAGCTGTGCTTTCTCAGCGGTGAGAACCTGAGAGACTTCTTCAACCCTCCTGAAGCTCCCTGGCCCCACTGCCCAGCTTTGTAAACTCATCCCGATCACCCAGTGTGATCTCCAAGAGAAAGCCAGATCAAGAGCCTACAGCAGCTGTGTGGACAGCCCCAGGCTGTGAGGAGCCGAGCCCCGTTGTCATTCTTTTCAGCAGAGCTTCTCCGTCATTCTTCCTTCAGACACCTGAAATCTGGCGGTCCCTGGTCCCCGAAGCTGAGGATAATCTCCGCGTCTTCAGGTTGTCCTGCCTTACCCCATCTGCCCCAGTCAGACAACCAGGGCAAACAGACCAGGTTCAGCTACGGCATGAACCTGCTGGAGTGTCCAGGAGGATTCTAGAATTTCAGAGTTCAAATGGTTGTCCAAAGCTTAGCCTATCCTTGGCAGATACCGAAAATGCTCGACTCTTCCAGGGAGTCCCCAGCAGGTGCTGGCAGGACTGTCAGAAAGGAGTTCAACCATCATGGGCAGCACCACCATTCTGCCTCGCCCCAGTAGGGCTGTTTTTAAATCTTCATAGCCCCCTTTGCAACCCTTTCACTCTAGAGTGTCAGACCACATCATAATAAACACATCAGAATGCATCTACATCCCACTTCAAATATCATTTACATATAACTTCATAGGAGCTGAGATGACTTAAATTTAACAAGTTGACATGATGTTACATTATGCACATATTCAATTAAACATCAATTAATTTTGATTTTGCAGTCATTTTTCGAAGTCGATCATTTTTTTTCAAGTATTAAATATTCCTGGAAAAATAGTAATCAGTTGCCCTTGGACTTGGGGTACCCGTAGATAAACCAGCCCCTGGACACCACCCTTTCTGGGGTGAAGAGCCAAGCTCTTTTGTCCTCTCAGAAGACCCAACTGGGAAGTGAGCCACTGTCTGTGTCATCCCTGCCAGGGGCTGCTTGTGTTCCCGTCAGGGATTTTATCTCTGTCCTGCCCCAAATGAGGAGCCGAGAGCACAGTGTGGGGCTAGGTGACCATGGGGGCTGCCAGATGCCATGTTCAGAGCAGAAAAGCAACAAGAAGAAGGGGCGTGGGCTGTCAGAAAGGCTGCCCATGACCATAATGAGACTCCTGTTTTGGCCAAGGTCAGAGAGTTGTCTGTGGCCTGCTCCCCACCTCTCTGAGCTTCATTTTCCTTAGATGTAAGTCAGCAAGTAGCAAATGAGAGAGGCCAAGGTGCTCACTATAATCTCTCCCTTATTTTCTAGATCTACAGAGCTGACATTTTATAGTGTGATGTTTATTCTGGTACTTTCTGCTCCAGGGTATCAAAGTCAGCACAGTTAAGTGTGGGTATTTCTACTGCTGAAAAGCTATCATTTGTGAAGGGGTTGTAGGGTGTGTAACAGGGTTTGTGCATTTGTGAGTGAACACATGCACATATCCTGGAGAAGTGCAGGTACACGTGGACATGGGGTGTGGTGCTGTGTGTGCTTGTGTAAGCAGACATGTACGAATTTGTGAATTTGTGTTATGTGCATGTATGAGGAATGGATGCATGCGTGTGCATTTGTGTGTGCAAATGTGTACATGTGCAGCACAGCAAGGCCAGGTAAGAAGGATGGAATTCAAGGACTTCCTGGTTCCTAGTTCCCCAGAACGCTTTCTTTCTGGAAGGTGTTCCGCTTTGGCCATCAGCCTGGCCTGTCGTTTGCTCCCATAGAAGGGCATTATTGTCCTTGAGAACGAGTCCAGGAACTAGGTGACCCCGCCACTAGGCACGGAACACACATGACATTTTACAAAGGTCTTTCTCTTCCGTATTTTTTCTTGACTCCAAGATAGAATTTGTGAGGTTAGTACCATCATTCCCATTTTTCAGATGAGCTAACTGAGGCTTCCTCAGAGGACAAGTGACAAGGGAGAGGACATGGGTATGAGATGTTCCTTCTCCACATTTCCAGTCACTGCAGAAGGTAGGTAGGGTGGGCCCTTTACAGACATGGCTTTTTTCTTGGACACATCTCTCTCTGACTTCTTCCTGGCCCATCAGGCAGGAGCCACGGTCAGTGTGGAGAACCTGGCAGGGGTGGTGGGTAGCAGTCCCAGGCTTCCCCGGTGACTCAGACAGTAAAGAATCTGCCTGCAGTGCAGAAGACCTGGGTTCAACCCCTGGGTTGGGAAGATCCCCTGGAGGAGGGCATGGCAACCCCCTCCAGTATTCTTGCCTGGAGAATCCCCATGGACAGAGGAGCCTGGTGGGTTACAGTCCATGGGGTAGCAGAGTTGGACACGACTGAGCAACTAACATTTTCTTTCACGAACCCACAGCATTGGGTAAACCAGGCTGCTGAGGGCCACGGACGTGTCGGGTCTCGCCTCAAACCACCGTTGCTGGATATTAGCAGCTCCAGTCATGGGGCCAGGGAGCCATCTCCTCAGAGCAGCTGGGCAGGGCGAGGCAGGGCGGGGATGAGGGAGCTACTCATGGGCGGGAGGAGTTTCGGGTGGCCCTGTGCCAGAGCACCCAGGGTCACTGGTCCAGTCCCCAAGTCCCAAGCTGGGACATCACTGGTTCTCTGAGTCTTATGCCCCTATGGTGACATCCAACACACTCCATCACCCAGTCCACTCCTCACAGCAATCCTACATGGTTGTTATTCTTGTGCCCATTCTGTAGATGAGAAAATTGAGGTCCTCGGAGATTAAATGACTGGCAGAAGACCCAAGCTCTCATTCCAGCTGGGTCTAGGCAGAATCCAGAATAAGGTGGTTAGGGGGCATCTTGTGGCTCAGCTGGTAAAGGATCTGCCTGCAATGTGGGAGACCTGGGTTCGATCCCTGGGTTGGGAAGATGCCCTGGAGAAGGGAAAGGCTATCCCCTCCAGCATTCTGGCCTGGAGAATTCCAAGGACTGTATAGTCCATGGGGGTCACAGAGTTGGACATGACTGAGTGACTTTCACTTCCATTTTTTCACTTTTCAGGGGGCATCTACTATGTATCAGGAACTATGCCAGGCACTTCTCAGGTAACCTCTCATTTATAACACACAAATCAGTGAGGTAGAGAGCATCCCCTCCATTTTGGAGCAGAAACAGAGCAATTCATTTATTTGCCCAACGTCTTAATAGAAGGATCCAAACCCAGATACACATGCCTGAGAAATATTTAATGCAGCTGGGATTATCTTCTTAATATATACGTCTGACCAGGCCATATCTCTGCTTCCCGCTGCTCCCTGGTGCCTCAAGCACCACAGGGAAATTCAAGAGCCTTAACCTGACATCCAAGGCTGTCCACCCTCTGGCCCTGAGCACGGCTCCTTCTTCGCTAGCCCGTCTCCCTACTCCTCGGCCACCTGCAGTCACAGTGCTGTGTTCCCTTGAACATGCTGTGTATTTGAAGAGCTCTGGCCTTGGTAAAGCCTAGTCCATCTGCCAGAAATGCCCTTAGCCCTCTTCTCTGCCTGTCAAATTCCCAAGTCATACGGTGTGATCACACGGTGTGATCACCTCCTGGAGAAGGTGTCATTTGAGTTGGAATCAGTTAATCCTCTGGATTCATGAAGCAACTTTCACCTTCATTACAACTTGACATTGCTGAGAAGACGTGGGTGTTTATATCTGGTCACTAGACTGGGGATACTCTCAGAGCAGAGGGGGTGAACTGTTTATCTCTGTATCCTAGCAACCTGCACAAGGCCTGGCCTAGCAGGAGCATTCAACCAGAGTATATGGGTGGAAGAATAGATGGATGCTCGGATGGAGAGATGTGTGGAAATAACGTAACAGATGGGTGAATGGATGACTTGATTGGCAAATAGATAATTTAATGGAGAAATGAGTGGAGCATGGAAGGATGGAAGAAGAAGAAGCAGGTGAATTATACCAATAAGCACAAAACTATTCAGCACTGACGAAGTATACTGAGTGCCCTCTCCACTCTCCATTTGGATGGCATCACTGACTCAATGGACACGAGTTTGAGCAAGCTCCGGGAGATGGCGAGGGACAGGGAAACCCGCCATGCTGCAGTCCATGGAGTCCCAAAGAGTCGGACACAACTGAGTGACTGAACAACAACAATAGTAGCCAATAACTCGAGAAGCTTCCCTGCTCACCTCCCTTACAACCTCTTGTTACAGGTTGAAAAAGACCTGGCAGGCCCTCTGGGCAAGGAACAAAAGAGTGTCCCAGATGGAGTGGGAAACGACCCCCACCCTTGGTGTTGAGCTCACATCCTGGAAACCTATGGCTGTGCTCTAGGAAGATGCAGGGCCTGCCCTGTCCCCTGAGATGAGCTAAGCAGGGAGTAGCCCACACTCCCATCTTTCCATTAGCTAAGAACTCTTCCAAGCCTGGCCTCTCCCAGCTCCAAGTTCCACTGCCCAGGATAATTGGAAGTGGGGCCTGAGTCCAATGTTGCTTCAATCCCCAAACCAAAACCACACTGGCCAGAATAAGAGGAGCCTTGGGGTCAGCATCTAGGAGGTATGGGGGCAGAAGAAACTGGACCAACATCTGGGGACAGCTGGAGACAGCTGGGCCACCATCAGGGGTGGGTTCTGAGAGCAATGGTCCTGAACTCCCAGCAGTGGGGGTGAGTCCTCTCCAGGAGTGCAGGGGCCAAGAATGGGCTCGTTCTGAGGAGGGGCAATGGCACCAGCTTCTCTCTGGGTTTGACCCCACCCCTCAGGTCCCCACTCACCCCCACAGCCTCACATCTGTAAGTAAGGCCCTGCCAAGTAAACAGCTGCAGCCCACACTCCAAGGCTCCCCAAACCCCAGCACTACCCACACCAGCCAAAGCCACATCCCATCCATCCCCCAGCATGGGACCCACGGGAGGGGATATGCTCGTTAATCATAGGGAGACGGCTTCCGGGCAGCCTCGAAGACAGACCGAGGAGACCGGAGCTGGGAGGGAGCTCCCCACAAGTTCCCAGGGGAGGCCAGGGCTCCTGCTCCGACCCAGCATTGAGTCCATCAGCTAGTGGCTTGCCTTCCAGTGCCCTGGGAATCTCTGAGAACTGCCGGTCCTGCTTATGGCCCAGACATCAGGAGAGAAAAAAGGTGGGTGTGTCCTCTGCCATCGCACCTTCCTTCTTCCATCCAGTGAGGCATCAGAGAAACCCTCTGAGGCCAGAAGGTTGGAATCTTGGTTCTTTGCTTGGCGATCCGCTGGTCGTGTGACCTTAGGTCTCAGGTTCTGCAAAATGAGGCAAGAGCTCCGACTCTACCTGTGTGCACAGCCTAGAATTAGTCATCATTCTGTGGGGAGGGCACGTACGGAGGCCCATGCCCTCCATCCCTAGACCCACAGAAGAGCAAGTCAGCCGTGGTCGCTGGCCTGATCTGAGTCACAAGGCAGGCTTGGCAGTGGGAGGTGACCTACGCAGCCCCAGGGAACAGGGCCTTGGAGAAAGCCATGGTGGAGAGAAGAGAGCCTGGAGCAGGGGCAGGAATAAAGACACACATTTGCCAGGAGCTGGGCTTCCACTCACCCTGCTCAGACCAAGCCCAGTCTCCCCTCATCCTCCCTTTGCCTTTTGGTGTCAAGAGCTGTGGACTCCTCTTGGAACACTTGAGCCCTTCACAGCCCATGGGGATGCACCTCACTGTGATAGAAGCTCATAGACCATCAAAGTTGGAGATGTGCTGGCTGACCCCTGACCTCATCATGTGACCTTGGGCAAACCCCTGTTCCTCTCTGAGACCTGTCGGCACACCTGGTGAAAAGAGAGCCTGGAGATCCCCTGTCCCTCCACAGGCAAGGGGAAAGAACAAGTGATGATTCAAGCAAATCTCTACTGAGTACATCCCATGTACTAGCCATCATTCTGAGCCCCCTGGTGTTCCCGCCTCGTACTCCAAAGCGCTAGATACACCACATCCCCCCACAGGGAGGGCACTAAGGCCCGGAGAGGACAGGACAGTATTCAAGGTCACACAGCTTAAGTGGACACGTTGGAGCTAGAATCCAGATTTTCAAACTTGACAACAATACAGTTCCCTAGGGGTCAGGGGCAAGACCCGAAGTCCAGACAGGAAGCAGGATGGGACCCAAGGATGAGGCACCATCCCAAACCTTGACCATGAAATTAGACAAGGCCAGAGCGTTGATTCTTGGGGCACAAGAGGCCATATCTCCACAATGCACCCAAGTCTGAAAGTGAAGTGAAAGTGTCAGTCGCTCAGTCATGTCTGACTCTTTGTGACCCCATGGACTGTAGCCCACCAGGCTCTCCTGTCCATGGAACTCTCCAGAGAAGAATACTGGAGTGGGTTGCCATTCCCTTCTCCAGGGGATCGTCCCAACCCAAGTCTGGAGCTCCTTAAATTCCTCACCTTGTGTCAGCTCAGGGAACAAGGGGCAATCAATCAAGGCTCGTCCCCAGAGGGAACCCCAACTCTTCAGGGAATATACACTTGGAGGACACTCTCACATTATTGGCACACTGCTGTGACAGAGGGCTCATGCCCCTGCGCGCATCCCGACTCTATTCTTGGTCTGAGGCAGACATGGTAGAGATGGGTGCGGCACTGGGCTCCACTGGGACATGGATGATATGGTCTCCAGATCCCCTCTCCTCTCCAGCCCTCTCCAGATCAGCACAGCTACCAGACTGGAAACAGTCCCTCCTAAAGACCTAACCATTAACTATATACTCTCTGAAAATAGTGCTAGATTTCAGGGCTGCTTCTCCATTCCATTCTGCCTTCTTGGAGAATCATCAGATCTCTAGAGTCCTCACTTCGCCAAACCTGGGCTGCTGCAGACTTCCACTCTGATTTCCCCCAAGAGGTGTGACTCAGCCTATGACCTTGAGCAAGTCCCTCCCACCTCCAGGCCCCAGTGTCCACACTTGTCAGATGGAAGAATAAGCTCAACATGGGGTTCCCTTTAACTGGCAGAGACTCTGGGACTGTCATCTTCCAGATAGGTGGAGGGAGGTGGGCAAGGCCAGCTGAGCCCCTGGCTAAGGGGGGAAATGGATGAGCAGACCCCGGACCCAGCCTGGTGCCCATTTCATCAATGCCTGCTTTTGTCTGGAGTGCTCAGCAAGCAGGTGAGTTCATCTTCCATTAGGGACAATTATCTTCATTTGCATATGCTAAATATGACATTTAAGGGAGAAGTTTCTCCCCACCCCAAACAGGATAAAAGTCCCAATGACAGGCAGGCAACCTGCGGTTTGGGGCAGAGGTGTAATTGGCTCTTATTAAAGGAAGATGTGGGGAGATACAGGTTTTGAAATGCAAATGACAGCATCCTTCCTTCCACTGGGGCTGAACAGGGAATGATGAGGGCCAGGCTGGTGCTTCCTAGCTCTTGTCTGTCCACATCTGGGTAGGACAGGCCTCCTGACACAGTGCATAAGACAGATAGAAGGTGGGCAGAAGCAGGAGGCCAGACTAGCACATCCCCTCCCCAGTAGCCCATCCTTGCCTCAGCCTGCCCTGCTACACCAGCGCCCCTCCCTGCCCACCAGCATCAAGCAGATTCTGCTCTCTAAACTGAAATCCGTTAGCATACTAGACCTTGACTCAGAGACCCCCCACCAATAGCTTCATCTGTGGCTACTGCCAAATATTAGCTACAAAAAGGAGAAAGCCAAGAAGCCCTTAAATACCCCACCCCACACTGGTCTTGGCTATTCTCTATATTTAAGAAGCCCTTTTTTCCCCCACACCCCTGGCAAACTCAGCTCTCTCTCAAACCAGTTCAAAGGGTGCCTCATCTATGAAACCTGCCCCAGTGGCCCAGACTGGACTAACGATGGCCTCCTTCACTCCCAGCGCTGCCTTTCCCACTGAGGCTGAGAGCCCAGGAAGCAGGTATAACTTTCATTCATCTCTGGGTACAAATATCTGCTCGGAGCTGACTCCCCAAAGGAGCTCATAAGATTTGGGAGATGCAGGAAAGGAAGTAGGGCTGGCTGGATGTTTCTATGTGCTTTCATTACAAGGCTTTACCCTGCACTTGCCTAAGTGATGGTTTTCAGCATTTCCCATTCTACAGGTGGGGAAAAGTGAGTCTGGGGGAGATAGAGACTCCATCTCCAACTCAATGAGGAAATTTGGATAAGCAGGATCTGGAATACCATCCCTGACTACCCCCCTCAAGTGGGCTCACTGTTGCTTGACATTGAAAACATCCACAGTGATGGGAGCCTGCCTTGCGGCCACTTTATCAAGTGGCGCTCCCAGGTCCTAACACTGCCCTGACCTCCTGGTCCTCCTCAGATCCAGCCACTGAGCCTGAGGTTGATCTTGATGAAGTCGTCCCCTCTCTTACAGAGCACTGGCTCCCATCTGATTACTCCCAAAGCAAAGAAAGTTAAGTCAGCACCGCAGGATGATAACTGGAGATGCATGGATCCCCAGTACTGAACTCTAAGACAGGAAATAGCTGTTCATGATCCTCCTTTTCCACAGACATCCAGAGCTGTCTGCTCTGGGAAACCAGAGAGGCGGGGAAGAAGGGGGAGGGCTAGAAAGAGAGCAGAGGGGACCCTGCTGGGGGATCCATTATGCCCCCAAAATCCTGACCCCCAGCCCCAAGCCTGCCTGACTCTTCTGAATGATATCTCCCCTCCATTGGCCCCTGTCCCTTCCCTGTGGCAGCGTGAGCTGAGTGGGTGGTCAGGGCTCAACTGAATTTTGCAGTTTGTGCTCCATGAGACCTCAGGCAAGTTTGGGACCTATCAGAGCCTTGGCTTCCTCCTCTGCAGGTGGGGATGGCAAGGTTGTTCCTCTGTTGGTTAAGCTAATCCACAAGAAAGCACAGAGCAGGTGGTAGGTGCTCAAAGGTGCTCCGTCACCTTCCCTTTCCTACCCTGGACCTTTAAGGTGAATGCCCCCAGGGAACATAGAGGGCAGACCCACCTGCCCGAGGCTCTTCTCCTCCCTGCTCCCCAATGCAGAGACCCCCCATGAAAGGAGGTCAGCAAAAATCACGGGGCGCTGCTGCTCCCCAGACATTTGCCAGAAGCAACTTCCACCAAAAGCAGGTGTGTAGGATTCTCAACAAGCCACATTAGGACAGGAATAGAGAAAGAACAGAGAGAAATCCAGGCCTGAGATTGACTCCAAGCTCCCCTGTCATCTGACAAGTCAGTGAAACCACAGAACGGAAGGGCCACACAGCAGTTCCCTCACGTGGCCACTTGTTAGAAACCCCTGAAAGCTCTAGCATCTCCTAGGACTCGGCAAGGACTCCTAATGAAACCAGAATGCATGGAGGAGGAATCAGGTATCAGTGTGTTTAGGATCCATAGGTGGTTCCAGCATGACTCAAACTTTGAAAGCCACAGGACCACAGGACAAGAGAGTAATTGTGGGAGGCTACCAAGACCTGACCACATTCAAAGTGCTTCCTTAGCCATCACCCCATCTGATTGTCACCTGTTGGCTGAGGAACCACGTTATTATACCCATTGTATGGAAGAGAAAAGTAAGGCCTTGGATATTGCCGTGTCTCCTGAAATAGTCATTATTAAGGCTGAGACAAGAGCCCA